CGCATGCTAACAAGGACGCATGCTAACAAGCACGCATGCTAACAAGGGCGCATGCTAACAAGGTCGCATGCTAACAAGGACACATGCTAACAGGCACGCAGGCTAACAAGGACGCATGCTAACAAGGACGCATGCTAACAAGCGCGCATGCTAACAAGGACGCATGCTAACAGGCACGCATGCTAACAAGGACACATGCTAACAAGCACGCATGCTAACAAGGACGCATGCTAACAAGGACGCATGCTAACAAGCGCGCATGCTAACAAGGACGCATGCTAACAGGCACGCATGCTAACAAGGACGCATGCTAACAAGGACGCATGCTAACAAGGGCGCATGCTAACAAGGAAACATGCTAACAGGCACGCAGGCTAACAAGGACGCATGCTAACAAGGACGCATGCTAACAAGCGCGCATGCTAACAAGGACGCATGCTAACAAGGACACATGCCAACAAGCACGCATGCTAACAAGGACGCATGCTAACAAGGACGCATGCTAACAAGGACGCATGCTAACAAGCGCGCATGCTAACAGGCATCCCTCCTTTGTGCCACATCATTGTTTTTGTCCACAAAAAAAGAAGCTTTTTCCTTAGAAACTTTTCTCTTCTTGGATTCGTGGCTTCCGGAGATGGGGAGCCATACATTAACGCCTGTGGTACAAATGGAAATAATCAGCTATCTATGATCAAAGGCACGCAGAGTTTTAGTAAAAAAAGGGCTGAAGAAGAGCTGCAGGAGTGGGAATAGATGACTCGTCGCAGAAGCACTTTGAGAGGCCAATCAGACTAGAAAAGTGCCAAATAGATGCAATCCATTTATTCATTTTGCCTTAATATTTGACTGTCTTTGTTTTCTACATCAAAACAATTCAGTTTTTAACCCAATTGTTCTCCCTTAGATCTTTTTTTATTGGGGCTTTGGAGTTAATACTTTAATTTGAACATTTAAAATAGAAATTAGCTTCATCCTAAAAGGTTTTAACAGCTGCTGATAAAAATCTTCCTTTCATGGTCATTTTTTTTTATTGTTAGTATATATTTATGAACTCTATATTTCTAACCTAATATATATTTAATATATTATTTATTTATTTATTTATTCTGATGGGGACATCAGATTGACACCGTTTGGTCCCTTGAGGAGGAATTTGTTGCTAATCTTTGGCGCGACATTAGCCTGTGCGCTGACTACTTTTCCATTCATTTCCATTCTTGCAGTTTGTTTACCTTTCTCATCTCGAGGGAAAGATAAGGACGATTGTAATGAAATTGCTTGTTTGCCGGCGGCCGGGTCCATTATCTTTAATGGATGCACCTGGGCAGCTTTGTTGTTTTGTTTGTTTTTTTGCGTCTCTTGCTCCTTTTGGTGTTCAGATTGATTTTATGAAGTACTTTTTATGTCCCTGCTTGCAGATTTAAAACAAAAATAAAAGGGCAACACTCTGAAAAAGCCTGACAACATGAGGCTGCAAAGAGTTCTTGTTTACTAAAAACGTTTATGGTTCGACGTCTCGCTATGCTAACATGCTAACAGTCGCACACGTCCTTTCTGTAAATATGCTATCCATGATAATAATATTTAATAATATATCTATTTGATAATAAAGGAATACCAACTCGAGCTGCTCGTAAAATGCTAATTAAACTGAGTTAAGTGGTTTTGAAATCATTTACACTCTTGTGAAATACACTTTGTATTTGAAAGTGTTGACATTTAATGCTCTGAACAGACAAAAAAAAGAGTAATCTTTCTTATTTGTTCAGTTAGGATGAATTCCACTGTGTAGAAAAAGTTCTGTTCTGATCTGTGTTTGTGGCATATTCACATTCCAAAGCATCAAAGAAGAGTTCAGCCTCAGTTTTGACATCATCTCTAACATCCAGCGGTCTCCTGCCCCCCTTCTCTCTTATTTATTTATTTATTTACGTTGTTTATGATCATAAACGTGACGTTAACTTTGAATTGCTAGCTGCGGCTAACGGCTAATAATAACACGCCAACATTAATCAAGTCTGCAGGAAGCCAAGGATGGATATCCAACTCCCCCACATCCAAGTCGGCCATTTTGATTAGGTCACCAATAGGAAGATCCCAGGCAAGAAAATCCTAATTGCTTCATGGCGATATGGACATTAATTTAAAAATAGTGAAATGTATCTTGCAAACTCTATCCATAATATTATGTTAACATAGTGTAATGTTAAATAGGTTTGTACAATAAGTCCAAACAAGTTTAACCAAAAATGATTTGTTTTTATTTATTTTTATTTCGTTTATTTTTAATTATAAAGGCTGGAGGGTTAGGGTTAGGGTTAGGTTTAGGGTTAGGGTCAGGGTCAGGGTCAGGGTCAGGGTCAGGGTTAGGGTCAGGTTTACGGTCAGGGTTAGGTTAGGGTTAGGGTCAGGTTTAGGGTCAGGGTTAGGTTAGGCCCTAACCCTGACCTTTACTCTAACCCTAACCCTAGGGTTAGAGTAAGGGTCAGGATTAAGGTGAGGGTTAAGTTTAGGTTTAGGGTTAGGGTTAGG